TTACAAAAAGAATACAAATAGAATAACTTTCCTATAACATTAATTAAAAACGACAAAGTTTCTCATTTCCTGGCTGTGATGACTAATTTTGTGTTAACTTGACTGGCCCATGGGGTGACCAGGCATTTGTGAAACGTAAGTTTAGGCGTGTATGTGAGAGTGTTTTGGGGTGAGATTAATATTTGAATTGGTAGACTGAGTGAAGCAGACAGTTCTCCCCAATGTGTGTGGACCCTGTCTAATCAGTTGAACGCCTGGGGGGGGTTTAGAAAAAGACTGACTCTCTCATGAAAAAGAGGGAATTTCACTTTTTCAATAGCCCTCTAGCAAAGACATTGTTTGAGGGGTTTGCTTTTTGTTTTTTCCTGCCTTTGGACTTGACCTGTAACATTAGTTCTTGGGTCTCAAGGCTGTCAGCCTTCAGACTGTAACTATGCCATCCCTTTTCCTGATTTTCAATCCTTTAGGTTGGGACCAGCACCAAGGCTACAGACTGCAGGTTTTGGGACTTGTCAGCCTTCATAATTATGCGAGCCAATTCCTTATAATAAATCTATCTATGTATCTATCAGTCTACCCTAAATAGACAGATGTCATGGATAGATAAAAAGAAATGATGGATGGATGGATGGATGGATGGATGGAGGATAGAAGGACCAATCCTACTGGTTCTGTTTCTTTGGAGAACTCTAATACACTGGCTAATAAACCTATACTAAACCATACTGGTACTAATGATAATAACACAGCTCATGTGAATACAATGAATTCTGCTCAAACAAAGTCTTAGATAAATTCTCAAGTCCTTGTCATTGTAAGTTAATCTAATTATACACTTGATACATTTTGATATATACAACTACTTTAGAACCTTATTTTCCATGTATAATTCTGAATAATAAATTCGAAATCATGTAGAGATGATTTGAGAGATTTCTAAAATGGAGCATGTTAGATTTGGGATTAGGAAAAGGGGAGACACATCATTTGAAAGACGTTGGGTCGGCGGTTCCGGGAATGCAGGAGGAACAATAGAAATGACTGCCAGGGCCGCCATCTTCCAGTCCCCTACCCCCCCTTAACCCTAGACTCTCCCACCAAAAGGGTGTACACCCAGGTCACCTCTCCATAGGTAACCCGATACCTATGCAGGAAACAGCAGTATCAGGAGCCCTCACCCCATACCTTCCAATCACCAAATATGGATGTGAGCCCATGCCCTACCTTGGCCCGATAAAAGACCCCGCCAACTCCCTCCCAGTGCGACTTCCCTCACTTCCCTTTCCAGAGTCGAGGAACCTCGCCCGAGGGGGCCCACCTCCTCCCGGCGCGACTCTCCTGGCTCCCCTTCTCCTGAGCCCTGAAACTTCCCCGGAGATGCCTTTAATAAATCTTGCCTTGCACCTACTTTGCCTGGTGTTGTGTTTACCTCGCCTGCAAAACCTTACAAAAGAGACCTGAATATTCTGTATCAACAGCTGACAAGAACTCTTTATGAAGAAAAAAGACCAAGTGATTGTGAATATGAACTCAAAAATTAGTTTTATATGCATACTTGTAGGTATAAGGAAAATAATAAAAGCATACACAGAAACATTGTTTATGAAGTAGGAAACAATTATACAACTCTTCACAGTTTGCTTTTACCAAACATAGTATATGGCAAATAATCACTTTACAAAAATATATTTTAAAAGCAATAATACCATGATGAACCTATGAATCTTTGCTGAACACTATGGCAGGCTTTGATCTCACAACCCTGTGATCAGGACCAGAGCTGTAATCAAGAGTCAGACGCTTAACCGACTGACCTGCCCAGGTGCCCCTCAAATTCCACTATTCTTAAGGTAAGTAAAACCTGTACATGTAAGGGTCAAAAATTCATTTACAAACTCCAGAAAGTTCTTTTTAATTAACTAAACTAACATTTAATTTAATTTAACTAAAATTATATGTTTTACTTAAAATGTATAAATATTACATATATATACATTCACACACACACAAACACAAAAATATATACAGATATATTTGCCCCAGTCAAATATGTATCCTATTGTTACTCCTTAACTCTTTAATTTATCACAGATATCCTCATAATTCATGATGGAAAGTAGTCTTGTATTATTTAGGTGATCTCTTAGATTCTGAAGTAGTCGCTAATAATGGTGACAATCACGGCGACTGGAATGTTAATAAATGCTAACATTTACACAGTGTTGACTAGATGTCATACTTCTTTCTAAGAGCTTTACAGAAATTAACTAATTTAGTCTTCACAAAACTCCAATGAGATAGGTACTAGTATTAGTCCCACTTCACAAATGACCGAACTGAAATAGAGAGAGGCCACATTGTCTAAGTACGTAAGAGACATTTAAAAAAAGTATTTTGCCTTAATTTGTAGTATTAGAACTAGGTATTCCCTAAATACTTAAGAGAGTTATGATACAAACACTCCACAGAGTATAATCCCTGTGCTCGGAAATGAAGATTCTACAACCTCATTGGCAAGCTGAGGCTCCTCATCACAGCCCCCAGCACCCGCTGAACCCAAAAGTCTGGCTTTCACTAACCACAACCCTGGACTGGAGTCATCACTATGGTCACCAAGTCCAAAGGCTCTTTTCTTCTCATGCTCTTCCATCTTTTCACAGCACGTATACTTCTTTACCAGGAACTTCCTTTTCCAAAATACCCTCAAAAGCATCGATTGGATGGATGATAACTCCTTTACTGGCTTCTCCCCTTGCCGCCTAAAAGACCTGTTCATGCCTCTGTCCTCTGCCTCTTTCGCGATCACATCTAACCCAAGAGCTATAATATTTACCTCTATGTAGCTAGTCCTTAAATATGAAGTGAGCCCCTAAGCATCACAGCTAAGTTCTCAAACTCCTGCTAGACATCTAGATTTCCCTTGGCATCCACTTACCATGCCGGTTAAGTTCCCCATCCTTCCTACAACCAGACTGGAGCTCCAGACTCCCATTTCCCTCCAAGCCACCCTATTTTGCTCTAGTTCTCCATGCATGAAACCTCTGTAAGATACAGCTCTAAGCTCCCTTCCTGCCTAGTCTTCAACATCTTCTCCAGCTTCTAGAAGAACAGGGGCCTATGATCTTCGGCAGGTACCCACCATGCTCATTCTCCATGTATGGAATTCTACTCGAGTTTCAATTCATCCAGGAAGTCTTGGTGACTTCCACTCAGGTGTGTTTTCTCCACCTTGAAAATCTTGCAATACTCATGTTTCAGTTTCCATATGGTGCTGCTCATGTCTGACATTCATAGGTTGAACCACATGAAACTGCTGATAGTTTTATGCCATATGGCTCAACCTAATACTTCTGTTGTTTTTAAGGCCCCTAAATAGGTTACCACAAGAGCAGGAATGAATTTCACCTTTCTTTGTGAGCCCCTGGGAAGCCCAGAACATTGGAAGTGTGTGTCAAAATAAATGGAATCTAAATCAATATGTACCTTTCACATACATGTTTGTCAAATGAATCATCCGAGCAATTAGTCTAACCTATCAGCTTGAACAGGATAGGTGAGGAGTTTTAGAACCTGAAACTTCCAAACTCCTGGTAACATAAAATATTTTGGTTCAAGGAACTGTTCTAAAATCATTTATTTGTGAAGGGAACATTCCCGGATTTAGAGGTTGGCAGGTACAGTAAAAAGCTTTATAGTTGACTGGAAAAAAAAAAAAAGGTGAAACACTTTTTAGCCCAGGCACTTCCCTTATAAAACAAACTGCCTAAAAGCAAAGCACAGCAGTTTGTTCACAATGAGCCCATGCCTCCAGCCATCAGCAAAGATGCTTTGGAACCAGAGGGGGACGATTTGCATTTCTATAGCTTCCTTTGTATACCCAAATTCCGAAAGCATTTCGTGGAGCCACACTCATCAGGAAACGACGCAATGATAGGATGTCAATACCAGAGGGGGTTTCCAGGTTGCCAGACCCAGCAGCCCCCCCCACCCCCACTGTGCACAACAGCGGGACCCCCCAATGTATAAACGGGAGTGCGGTGAGTTGGTGCCGGTTAAGAAAGGGGAAGCTTGTGTCTGAGGGGTCCCTCCGCATCACCTGTGCCATCCACAGAAGATTCAGTCTTTCCTGCTTTCACAGAGAATGACTTAAGTCCGCGTTGCACAGGATTTGCCGGCCTCCCCCTAACAAATGACAGGTGTCCTCCTGCAGGTGAGGGCGCTGGGTATCACTCCCTTCACCAGTGCCCCCCTTCTTCCTACCGCAATCAGCCTTGGCAACGAAACACCCAGAGGAAAGGCTGAGAGGCTTCGCCAGCACCCGGAGCAGCGTGGTGCTAGGAGAGGACAGGTGCTGCTCACAGTCTAACGTTCCAGGGGCCTGTTCTGGGGACAATTTTCCTGCGGCTTAGGAAAATAAGCACGAAGGTAGACTTCTGCTACGTTCTGTCTCCCTCTGCCACCGGCGTGGAAACCGCGATTTGGATGCGGCTGGGAACTCTTGAGGCCTGTTGTGAACTGGCCCTGAGCCCCATCTGTCCTGGAGCCAGCCACCGAGGCCGACTTAGGACTATCCTCCAGGGGTCACAATTGGGTTACAAATTCCTCACGGCGCAGGGCCTGAGCAGCCTGATTTGCAACAATGTATTGGAATCCTTCTTCATTAAGATTCTAATGGAGTAAGTAAGGTAGAAATTGAACAGACACAGAAATTGTGCCTTGCTGCTCCTGTGGTCAGTAAACATTTATTCACTAAGCCCGGTCTGTGTGTTCTCTGTCTCTCTCCCTCACTCACAGTCGTTCTTCCAATCCTTCCTGCTTGCTGTTTTAATGCATAATTAAGAAGGTCAGAATTAATGAAGCGGTGTGGAGTAAAGTTCAAGGAATCCCCAGGCACTATTTATTCTATTAGATCTCAGGCATGAATGTCAGCTTGGCACAGTCAGCGGCATAAGCAATGGGGCCGGCTGCAGCCCAGGAACAAACCACCGAGGGAGACTCACCTGCACCGTCAAGCCATTCCGAAGCTCCTTCCCAGCGAAAATCACACGCAACTGGTCAGCTGGAACCCCCTGTCGCTTAGCAACCACCTCCTTGAGCTGGAAGATGCTGGTGTCGGACTCGACCTCCACTGGGAAACCATGGCTGGAGTTGAACCTGACAAACACTGACCAGGACATTGGGAGAGAAGGGGGAAGTGGGTATTACTCAAAGCTCGGACATGGCAGTAGCAACATTTTTGACCCAAGCTACCGCTCGCCCACCCTTCAATGAACGGCATACATTTTCTTCCACTTGTAACACAGAATTGAATGCAATGGAGCAAGGTTTGAAGAAAACTGGAGTTTCGCTGTGGGATTTCCCTTTCTACATCCGTCAGTGACCCTGAAACACAATCGCATGCTGCCTCCGACGCCTGTCCTGGGCCACAAGGGGCTCACGCAGAACACTGGCTAGATGGGAATGGCGAGACTCCAGGGAGATTATGGAGGAGAATCGGCTCCAGCAGGCTGTGGGAATGAGCACTCGCTCCACGGGGCCCTCTTCATCATAAACGTTAGACATGTTCGGTTTGCGCTCACGGTGCATCGATGGGAACCACGCAGCTGCATGAAGACCGGCCCGAGCCCTAGACACTGCGTGACCCCATCCAAAGGCCCCACTGGATCTGCCGGTGCTACTTACTCGCCCTTTCTTTTGAAACCACGGACACAGTCTTCCTGATTGGAGCCGCTACCCCCTCACCACCGACCCTGGGACCTGCCGACCCGGCACGCCTCCTCGATGTGGCTGACTGGCATCGAACTTGTCACTGTCACCCACACAGGTCCTTTCCCGCCCGTGCTTTCTGTCACTACTTTCAGTCCATCTTTTCTCAGTTCTTGCACTAGCCTCCGAACTGGAGTCTTAATACACTCTCTTCGCTTCTAAAACGCCCTGCACGGTTCTGCAGAGCAAGCCTTTGCAACCCAGAGCTCTGCCCTCAAATCTTTTAAAGGGCCACTGTGTCTGCTGGGGAGAGAATCCCAGGCCCCAGTCATCTGACACAAACCTATAACCCAGTGGCTCCTCCATCAGTCCGCACATGCGCATTGCCGCACTGAATGCCCCCCAGAACACCTGCGCATCCCTGTCTCCCTTTCCCACGCCCTTCTTCACCCCTGCGTGCTGAAAGCCTGCCCACCACAGGATCCATCTCAGATGCTCCTCCTCCAAGAGGCCTCTCACGATCGGCCCAGTCATGACCGGCCCAGTCACGACCCAGCCTGCCTCTTAAGGCCTCAGGGGGGTGAACACAACCATCTTACACTATTTGCCACAGTCTCTCCTGGAGGCAGCGGAGCACCGAGTTCCAAGGACACCCGCCGGAGTGGGAAGGACCCCAATGCCAGTCCCAGGAGGTCCCTTCCCAGTGGAGCAGGTGGTGTAAATGTCTTACCCCTATTGCTTTAACTCTCAGTTCCCTGTCACAATAAATAAGCCACAGAGGGTGTTCTGTGATGTGTTAAGCAATATTTATAGTGTTTACAATGATCACATAATTACTTTCAAAAAATAATGAATGTTTGTATAAGACTTACATGTTTTGGGTATATATTTCTCCTTCTTTAAAAAGATGATAAACTCCTTAAGGCCAGCCACTATAGCTTATTTTCTGCAACGTCCCCTTTAAATGTAGCATTATCACTTACTAGTTGTCAATTCAAATAGGAGATGGCCCACCGAGTAATAATTATAATAAAATAGTCACTGCAATGCCAATAATAATCGAACACCCATGATTTGGCAGAAGTAGCACCTCACATATGCTATTTTTAAGCTTTCCGATGATCTGGTAAGGTCAGTATTATTAGCCTTACCTAACAGAAGAGTAGATGGAGTCCTAGAGAATTGTAATCACTTTTCTAAGGACATCAGCTGCTTTGTAATGGAATCACAACTCAAATTCAGTTCAATCAAACTCTAAACTCCTTTCCATTTCTACTGTAACAGGCTGCCTAAAATATTCTCCAAAGAAAGTCCACATTCCTTTTCCTTAGGATAAAAAGACAAACAACAACAGCAAAGAGGCTTTCAAACTTAATTCAGATATCCCCTATCCAGGTTAGCAGCAGAAACTGGGATTAAAAAATAAAAGCTTCGATGAAGCGCTAAGACCAAAGAAAAAATAACAATGATTATAAGACACAATAGAATAAAAATGGCACCAAAGTGAGAGCAGGTGTCACAGATGACACCACAAGAACAAAAACCTGACGTAGTCTACCCAGCACAGAAACATAGTTAGGGAAGGAGTATGCACTGGAAATGACAAAAGTGTTCTAAATCAAAAATTTTTTTTGAAATGATGAAAAGAATTACAGAGGAAAAGGGGCTTTTGATAAACTTTTAAGTAGATGTCATATGACACCACTGAAGTAGAGGAGGAGAAATAAATGTGTACTGGAAGCCCTTGCAGTATATTACCAGAATCCTCAGATCAGAGACCATAAGGCAACCAATTCATCAGATAAGATAGGAAACAAGTAAGGGGCAAGAAGGGACAAAAGGTATGGTCCCAGTTCTACACACGATTTTCTAATAGTGTGAACAGATTTGTTTTTAAAGCAAAATGCCATAGAGAGGAACCATGGGAAGAAACAGCTCGGGACTATACAAAGGTCACTAAAACTAAAGGAATAAAAATTCCAGGATGCCCTGAGTAGAAGATTTTTCTCCAGGGGTTTCAATTAGGGGGATTCCATCTTAAGGACAAGAATTATAAAAACAAACAAGCCAAATTAAAGTGAAAAAGAACACTAGAGAGTTCTGCACCACAACTCAAATCATTAGTATCTAAAGGCTTTTCTTCATTCTGTTTAAGTAGAAAAATTTAAGTTTTTGAACTTACGTTCAATTTGGTTAAGTCATGTCAATAGTTGAAAAATGAGTGTTTTTGAGCAGCAGTTCAAATATACACTAGGGACAGACAATGGAAAACCCACCAAATGCACAGCAGGTATTAGGCAAACTAAAATACGGTCACGGATAAGAACAAACATTTTCAGGTGACCTGATCATCAATAATCAAGTGCCACTATGTGGGACATGACCAGTGCCTAGTGGCAGTAGTGTATTTTCTGGTGGGTCTCTATCTTCTTCTGGCACATGGGAGAAAGGTGTCATGTCCTATGGGTCCTGGTCCTGAAATTCCAAGATTCCCAAAAGAGAGGAAAAGAGGAATGCACCCAACCTTGTCCCTCTACTACCTCTTGAAAAGTCACAGGAAGTAGAGTATCTTTAGAGCCAGGAAAAGAGAAAATGGAATGCTGGTTGTGCCACTTGCTAATTTTAAGACTTAAGACAAATGACCTGGTCACCTTTCTTAGCTCCTTGCCTGCTAAATGGAGATAATGTGTGCAACCTTAAATGCCCCATTACAAAAGGTTTGCAGTGATTACGGATGCATCAGGAAATTATGGCATTTGGTACACATCTGTACTCTTAGTACAAGGCAGTTTGTACTCCAAAAACAATTCCTTAATTTCAGTCACCTAGAGGAGCTAGTGCTAATTAAAGTAGCATCCATTCTTTATATTGTAACTAAGATAGATTAAATGGGATATGGATAAATGCTAAATAAAGTAGCCTATTTTTCTGGTTTCTGCCCTTCTTCATGATGGACAGAAAATTCCCAGGAACAAAGAGACCCAGATAAAGAATTTAGCTTGTCTCCTTTCCTGAGATTTAATCGTAAATTAAAAGTTTGGGAATGCATTGAATCAATGGCACCTATAATGGCATCAGAAATAAATAGTATACCAATTAACACTATCAATAATGTTGACAATGTTAATAATCAATAATAAATACCATAATGCACTGCTAAGAAAAAGATAATGAGACACACCCACACTCATTTTGGTGCCATCCCTAACCAATGTTCAGAAGATCCAGAGGATAAGAAAGTAACTGAGAAAAAAAGGGGAAGGAGTCATTGTGTGCTGGGTGCTTATGTTTCTCCCAAGGCTATTCTCTTTGCCTGGCCTGGCTGGGGTAGAAATGCTTGAGTTACAACCATAGTAGTTTCCTATCATTCATCATTCCTATGATCCATCCAAAGACGATGGCCCTTATAGGATCCGGCCTACCTTGAAAACACACAGAGAACAGTCATGGAATTAGGTGGGCTGAGCCACTCTCTCCCTTGAGTCCAGAATGGACTGTTACTAACCAGCACAATTTCATCCTCCTTGTTACAGCAATAGGCTCAAGGATGGGCATAAACCAGTCAGTGCCTGGCTTTCCCTTAGTCACAGTGATAGATTCCCTGGAGACCTCAGAAGGGGTGATCTAAGGTGGACAAATCAGAAAACAGTCCAGATTTGTCAAAGACTTGGCTTTAGACGGCACTGAACATCATGTGAGGCTCAGACATTTCTGCTGAGAGAATTAAACAAAAACAGAAGCCAAGACAGATCATTGTCATCCGCATAGAAATAGGCTCAGTGCTTTTGGGGTAAGATAATTCTTCCTCAAGAAAGAATGCCCTAAGCTCTCTCTACAGGATGTTTAGCTCCATCTGCAGCCTGGCAGACACCGGGAGCATCCCCTGGCAACTGGGGTGACCAGGAAGTATCCCTACATATTGCTAACTACCCCTTGGTGGAGTAGTTTTCTTCTTTACCTATTAAAAAATACCACCAAGACTAGATCGTCCTATTGTAAACAGACAAACCCTGTCCTCACTTTCCTCTTCAGGCATTGTCCACTTCTCTACACAGAAAACCTTACTGTGAATTTATTATAGTTCTGCTCTCCACCGACTCACTTCACATCCTTTTGTGAACCCACTCTTGAAGACTACTCTTGGTAAAGCAGTAACCTAATAATAATGCTATGATTATTCTATAATAATTCCATAATACTTCTAATAATAATTCTAATTGTTATTAGAATAATTCTAAGTCTAGAAGTATTAGAGTACTTCTAAATCAATGGTTCCATTTCTATTTTTCTCATATTTGACCATTCAGAGACATTCAGTAGATTTTTGTTCTTATAACACTTTTCTCCAGGCATGTGCCATCACACCATCCTGGTTTCCCCCTACAACACAGGACATGCTTTCTTAGCTTCATCTACTGAGTTCTCTTCCTGTGTTGGACTTACTGATTTTAGAGTGCC